ACACGGAGATGGACTGAAGTGGTAACCAGCTTCTCTCATAAGCAAATATGCATTCATTTACTGATATTTTATAAAACTGGGGAAGAGGCCATCCTTTAGTGGAAATGCATAATTCAAAACATGCTATAACTGAGCCCCACATAACAGAGATGTTAGGTATAATGGATTTTCTTGGAAAAACCACAGTAAATTGTTGATGAATTCACATCAATGAGGAACCTTTGTCTTCTATGAAAACCAAAGTGGGTCAAGTGTTTGGAAAATTTTAAAATGGAAGATGTAATCATGACTAATCATAACTTAAGGTCATCATCCCACTGCTGTCTGTTCCCAAACAACTTTGACAATGGGAAGCTACCTATAATCATGTTTATAAAGTGAAGAGGGAGTAAATATGTCCAGTCAAACTGTAGCCCAGAAATGTGGGCCAGTGATTGTGAATACAGGCACTCCCTTCTGGCTGCTTCCATCTCCCATTCATTCTCTAACCTTATGAGTGAATGGGTTCTAGCTTCAGGCTTCCTGAAACATGGAAAGCATCCAAAAATGGGGTTTTGGAGATCCTCAAGTTCAAAGCTCTCCTTTTACGGGTGAGGAAAATGAAGCCCATAAAGATTTAGTCATTTACCCAAGGTTGCACACCTGTTAGTAAATAGCAGAGTCAGGATTCAAATCCAGATCCTGACTCCAAATTCAGTGCACTTACTATACCACACTGCCTCCCCTGGGAATAAGGGCTAGATTAATTAGCAAAAGAGATTTTTTTAAAAAAAGTCAGCTTAAAATAAAAAGTCAAGCAATGGGTCTCTTTTCTACAATGCTACTAAGCTGTAGAAAATCTTTGGAAAGACAGCAAGAAATATCGCACTTTTTTTTTTTTTAGTTTTTGGGCAATTGGGGTTAAGTGACCTGCCCAGAGTCACACAGCTAGTGTCAAGTGTTTGGTCTGAGTCGGGATTTGAACTCAGGTCCTCCTGACTTCAGGGCCAGTGCTCTATCCATCGCGCCACCTAGCTGCCCCCAATATTGCACACTTTTGAGTGCAACTACTAATGTGTTATCATTGTTCAGTCCTTTCAGTAGTGTCCAACCCTCCATGACCCCATTTAGGATTTTTTTGGCAAAGATCCTGGAGTGGTTTGCCATTTCTTTCTCCAGCTCATTTTACAGATGAGAAACTGAGGCAAACAGGGTTAAGTGACTTGCCAAGAGCTATTAAGTGTCTGACGCTGAATTTGAACTCAGGAGGACGAGCCTTTCTGACTCCAAACCCAGAGCTCCATCCACTGAGCTACCTACCATTGCTAGGCATCAATCAACAGAAGTACTTAAGCAGTATGAGATGTGGGGGGTGGGGGGTGGCAGAGCTCTACCTCAGAAGTCAGCAAGTCTTCACTTTTAGTCCTTTAACTAATCATGAGTAGATCACATAACATATATGAACCTCACTTTTCTTACTTGTAAAATAGGGGAGAGTTTAGCTTGTTAGACCAATGACCTTTTCCCCACACAGCTATAAGATTCTGTGGCTATTCTTTCCAGGTCCCACTAACTTGAATTTTATCTGCCTTTAGGACAGCCTCCTTCACTGCAAGGTAATAGAGGAGTTGTTAAACTTGATGCTTAATCATTTCCCATCATAGCCACTATCTGTATCACAAAAAAGGGGGGAGGTTAAAAGGGTAAGGATTTGGAGAAATAACTGAAATTGTACAGAGATTTGAAAAGTAAAATAGGGCTCCAAGCAAACTGACATCACTGAATCATTTTATCAATTAAGAAGACTTGGGTATGAGTTGAGTAATGTTATTCACAGACTGCAAGCAAACCAATTAAAGACTGAACTGTCCATCTGTTGGTAATTGACACTCAGGAATTCTATCTCTGTAACATATCTAGTAATGATGAAGAAAGAAGGTTTAGAAACAATTCCAATATCACATTTCTACTCAATAGGTTGCTTTTTCAGGACTGAAATTTCATAAATCAATGTTAAGAGGTTAAAAAAGTCAAACTTCAAATAGAGATCAGAAGGTGACTTATTTCCATCTTACACACACACACACACACACACACACACACACACACACACACACTCTAAACCAAGACCTGGAATAGTTAAGGCAATGAGTCCAGTCCTACAGATAAAGATGTACCAGTAGGCCCTTTGGTTTTGGCCTAAGAGATCCTGAAAAGGTAAAAGAGGGCTGGTGATTTATGCATTCAACTAACATTTGCTTTCTTTTCTGTTCAATATCCCTTCTCCATCTTTCTAAGCCCCCTTTTATTGGCTAGTGTCTATGCCCCCAAAAAAGGAAAGCAAACATGCATTTTGTCAGATGGAATCACTGTAAAATCAAGTATCCTTTTCTATCTGTTCAAGTGGGGAGAAAAGTTAGTCCTGGGTTCACTCTAACTAGTTGTGGTCATTTAACTTCTCTGTGCCTCAACTTCCTCATCTGTAAAATGGAGTTGGACTCAATGACCTCTAACACCCCTTTTAGCTTTAAAGCTATAATTCTATGGTTGATTAATTAGCAACTTTCATGGCATTTTAAGAAGTATTATTAAACTTGATGTAATCAATATTTATTAAGCGCCTACTATGTGTCAGGTACTGTTAAGCACTGGGGATACAAAAAGAGGCAAAAGACAGTTTTTGCCCACAAGAAACTCACAATCTAAGGGGGGAGACAAAAAATATTTACAGAGCAAGTTATATTACAGGATAAATAGGAAATAATGAACAGAGAGAAGGCACTAGAATTAAGAGGGGTTGGGAAAGACTTCCTGTAAAAGGTGCGATTTTAATTGGGACTTAAAAGAAGCTAGGAAGGTCAGGAGTCAGAGCAGAGAAGGGAGAACATTCCCAGCATAGGGGACAGCCAGAGAAAATGCCCGGAGTGGTGAGAGGTGTCTTCTTCTTAGAGTAGCCAGGAAGCCAGTGTTACTGGTTCAAGGAGTACTTGGCGAGGAATACAGTGTAAAGAAGACCGGAAAGGTAGGAAAGGGCTAGATTATGAGGGGTGGTGGATGCCAAACACAGCATTTTCTATTTAATCCTCGGATCAAAGAGGGAGCCACTGGAATTAACTGAGTAGAAGAATGACACGATTGGACATGAGCGCTTTATGAAAATCACTTTGGTGGTTAAGTGGCGGATGGATTAGAATGGAGAGTTGAGGCAGGCAGACTCACTGACAGGCCCCTGCAATAATCAAGGTATGAGATGATAAACCAGAGTGGGGTGGGAATGTCAGAAGAGAGAATGGGGCGTATCAGAGAGATGTGGCAAAACTGATATCGACAGATCTTGGCAACAGACTGGATATGTGGGGTGAGAAAGAGAGGAATCAGAATGACTCCTAGGTTGTGAGCCCCAGGGACTGGGAAGCTGGTGTTGCCCTCTATAGGAATAAAGAGAGTAGGAGCGGGGAAGGATTTAGGGGGAAAGACAATGAGCTCTGTTTTGGATGTTTAGTTTAAGGTGACTACTGGACATTGAGATTAAGATGTCTGCAAGGCAGCTGGAGATGAGACATTTGAAGTTAGTAGAGAGTTTGGGACAGGATAGGTGGATTTGAGAATCATCATCACAGAGATGGTAATTAAATCTATGGATGATGATGAGTGCACCAAGCAAAGCAGTACAGAGGGAGAAGAGAAGTGAGCTTAGGACAAAACCCTGTAGGCCATCGATGATTAGAGGGCATGATCAGGATGAGAATCAAGCAAAGGAGACCGAGAAGAAGCAGTCAGACAGTTAGGAGATCCAGGAGAGAGTGGTGTCCTGAAAACCTAGAAAAAAGAGAGTATCCAGGAGAAGAGAGTAACAGTGTCACTGGCGGCAGAAAAGTCAAGGAGAATGAGGACTGAGAAAAGCCCACTGGATTTGGCAACTAAGAAATCACCTGTAACTCTGGAGAGAGAAGCTTCACTGGAATCAGGACGGAAGCCGAATTGTAAACGGTTAGGAAGAAAGTAAGAGGAAAAGTGGAGGCCCCTGTTGTAGACCAGTCCAGGGTAGGAGAGATTAGGACAGTAGAGGGGATACAAGGATCAACGCAGGGATCAAGGCAATGATGAAGATGGGGGAGATGTGGGCATATTTGCAGACAGTAGGAAATGAGTTTGTAGATACGAAATATCCCTCTGATAAAAGACACTGAAACCTGATCCAGAACTTGGCATTTCGGCAATGGCAAAATCTATCTTTTAATAGTGAGAAGAATGGAATAGAACTTTTAAAACAAGCTCAAAAAAAGAAAAAGAAACACATGTATCAGTTGATTACCAGGTCCCTTAACTGTTTTGTTTTTTTTTATTATCCCAAAATTCTTATTAACATTTTCACTAAGCTTTAGGCTTGAAGAGACAGCATGAAATAGGGGGACAGTATGCTGAGAAGAGAAGGTAATGTCAGTTTCCACATACAAGAAGTTCCAAATTTCTTGTAATAAAATAGCCCCATTAAACTACAGATCTATAGCTAATAACTTTGGAAATTTTCAATTAAATCTACTTCTGTTACTTGGTATTCCATTAAAAGCTGGAAATAAGTATCTTTTAAAAAATATTTCAAGTGAATAGGTGGTACCACATTACAAAACAAGAAATTACCCAGAAGCTGGAGTATAAATTATGTTATCAGGTAAAGGTATAGCCAGAAAAATTCAAAAGAGCTGGTCTCAAAGAGAAAGGGAGGGATCATCAGCTCTGGGGCTCTTTTGGTATCCATACAAATATAGGAAAGGCCTCAGCACACTGGGTGGATCCCACAGTAAATTTATGGGAGGCCATCTACTAGACTTACACAAAATGGTCAGGCATGGATGGGCTGCGATCTGTGTCGTTGGAAGGAACACCTATATAAACGACGAGATCACAGGTCCATTCCTGTATTGGAGCAAGTTTAATATCTTAAGAACCTTTCAGTATTTTGCCTGATAATCAGCAAAAAAAAAAGTTTTAAACATAGAAACCAGATATTAACAGCAGTATAAAATGAATAGCATTGTATTAATGTTTATTTCTAATTACAAGAAACAGAATATCAGTCCCTTATTTGTACAAAAATACCTGAAAGATAGATTACAATTAGGTTCACAAGCCCAAAAGCTATTTACAGTATGAAGCAAAGCATACTGAATAAAGGTTTTGTCTTTAAGTTAATACCTTTTGCATTCCCTGAAAACTTTTCAACTTTATTCCATTTTACAGTTACTACATCTTGCATTGTGACAAATATAATTTACGATAAGCAAGTCTTGCCACTGGAAAGGTGCATTGATTGGTCAAACTGTCAGGTATTTATTTAGTGCAGAAAAGATAAGACAAAACATCTAAACTGAGGCACGTGTTTCTTCAAGGTTTAACAAATAAAAGCTTTCTGTACTTTAACACCTGGTGTAACATAACTACTAACTTTATTACCAAAACCGTTTGGCATTTTACTTCTCGACATATTCAAGATTGCTACATGAAGTTTTCATTTAGAAATAAAAATCACAGGCAAAGACAAAAAAAAAAATTCAACAGGTTCCAAAACAACCCTGAGCGTCCCCTTTACATTCATGTCATTTAAATACAAAAATAAAAGTCAAATGTCCTTCAGTCCTTGGTTTGCTAAGCTGGAACCCAGCTGATTCTACTGGATTTGTTGGTTTGTTTGTTTGTTATAGGGTGGTACTCTCTCAGTGACCCAGCACAATGGGAAGTGGAAAGTGAGCTGTGAGCTGGTACAGTAAGCTTGTGACCACTCTGAGACTGGTTACTTTCTCAAACAGTTCACTTAGGCTGGAAAAGTACAAAAGACTAAGTCAACCAGCTACATATGTACAAAATTGTGATTCATAGTCCAACTTTTATTTATCTCTGTTTAAATAAAATGCAAGTTTATAAATACAAAACACTGCAAATACTAGCTGTCTCCTGGTGGTGGGTGGGGTGGAGGGGGGAAATGCATTATTGGAACCAATCTATGTAAACAGAAAAGAAATCTTATAGCCAAAAAACCGAAAAAAGGTTTATTTCAATCCACCAAATAGAAAAGTTTATAATAGCTGTGTCTTCCCCCCAAAGTGAGGCTGAATCAGGCATGCAAAGTGAAGTTGGAAATATGAACAGTTATTAGCCAAATTTCTGATTGTTTGAAAAGAGTGGCTAAAAAGAAAAAAAAAAGGCAGGAAAATGCAGTTCCATATTGCAGTTGAAAAACACATTTTGCTAAAAAAAAATCTCCATTTTCTAAATAGACATTTCATGGAAAATACTAGAATGTGATCTGTAAACTAAAATACAGTGTTTCTATACCATCGACATAGTTATAGCTGATATGTATTACTTAAGCTTGTTACATTTTTGTCTTAAACTACTGTCAAAGCTATATATGACGACCAAAGAGCAGAATGAAATGGTTTTTTCCTTCAGCAGAGAGGATTTTTAAAGCAATCCAGTGGCTAACATCAATCAGGGAGCCGGTCCGCATTCTCACTGCTGTGTTAAAAGAAAACTATTTTGTTCACCACAGTAGTCTGAACACCCTTTCAAGTAAGCACTTTCCAATCTGCAGAGAAAAGGGGAAATGGCTATTTTCATGCCTGGTTTCTATGTTCGGGGTAAGAGGCAAGGACTGAGAGATGTGGGATGGAAAATCGGGAAAGACCGTAGCCACTGTCTTTCAGGCTCATCAGAAAAAAGGAAAACCAATATTGTGTTATGACTGAAGAGTCAATTTAAACATTTACGACGAAGCAATTCTGATCATAAGCCAGTAGTAAAGTAGACTCTGAATCGGCTTGCAGTCAGCTGGCTTACGTGTGTGTGTGTGTGTGTGTGTGTGTGTGTGTTCCTTTCAGCAGGATGGAGGTCACAAGGTCAAAAACCTCTTAAATGTCAGGTTGAGTCTGTGTCCATTCTGTTGTTTGTGTATGTTTCTCACCATGGAGACATTCAGGACACTCACTGCAGTAAACAAAATAGGAGCCATTTTTCTTTTAAACTCCTGCAACTCTACCCATGGCAGGGGCTTGGGCTGCATTCTGTAGCATCATTTAGCCTTTCAACAGGCTGATGGTGGTAATAGGGTGGTGTTTCTGAAAGAAACTAAAGACCACGGAGGACATAAAGCTAAAGGAAAAAAGGCTGATCATTTGTCCTAATAAGCACACGATCAGCACTGGTGATTTTTCATAGAAACCAGCCAGCATGGTCATTCAGTTGTGATTGTGTAATGGTGAATTTCCTAGAGAATAAAAACTATTTGATTGGGGGGAAAATATAACACACATGTTAACAACAAAAGGTTCAAACATTTGTGCATAGAAATTGGATGACTAGACTGGGGTCTCATGACTGAGTCAATTAATTATGCTACACGTATACCAGTCATTTCCCTAAGGATGAAAACCTCATAAATGATTTTCAAAGTCCACTGGGTTGGTGGAGTTATAGTTTTAGAACTGAATTCACACTGCTTCAATCAACTGAGAGCAGAAATTGCCCTTGCAGAAATGCTGAGACCCAACACTTTAGGTCTTCTAATTCTGACAGGTGGAGACTTTTTAGCTCCTGCATGAATTGAAAAGCCACATCATGTCCTAATATAGGCTGTATACAATATCCAAAACAAAGTAGGAGTGCAAAAAAAAAAAGTGATCAATACAAAAAAAGTAAACACACCAGTTTTAATTGTCAAGATTATTCCAGGGCAAGAGTCCTTTTCCAATGATTTCTCTTCAGAACCTGTTCCTGTTAAGTGGCCCAGTCAAGATGATCATTCCAGTTTAGTCTCAAATTTGCACACAATTCTACATGCCTTCCTGTATTTGGCAAGGGGAGGAAGGTGTGCTGGGATACTCATCAGCAGATCATTCTTAGGTGTTGGACAAACCAGGAGGATCTTGGTCTGTTGGCACCCACTGAATCCATCCCTTTGAGAGTCTTGAGGTGCAGAACAGAATTTTTAAACCAATTTACAGACCTGCTCATTCATTCCAGTGTTAACTTTCTCTTAGTTATTCCTCTAGCAAATCCAGTCTTCAACCAAGAGCCAAATTCAAGGTCATAAGGCCACTCTGATACAGTGATGTTTGAGTTTGCAAGGCAAAACTCCTTTGTTTAGCTGGTAGAACTCAACAAGTTGGATCAGATCGGTGAATTTGGTATTTCCATCATCAAGGCTGAAGAACATCTGTCCCTCGTCCTCACACTATAGGAACAAAAACACCTTCAACATTAGATAGCACAACCCAAAAAATCTACTGCAATTTAAAAAAGCCCAGAATTCTATGGTAAATTAGTCTTTATTTCAGAAAATAGTACAAATGAATTGCATGGCAAAATAGTAGGGGGCATCACAGTAAGGTAGAAAATTAAACTAAAGCTCAAAGAGTATATATAGTCATGGCTTGGTCTACCAAGCAGCCATGTTGAGGATTCCAAGGAACTGAGGATGAGAAATCCAAGGAAGGACAAAGAGACAGATTCTACCAACTCTTTGAGGACACCTACTAAGCCAGTGATGGAATAGAACTGGGGTCTTGGGAGAACATATGCAGTTTCTAAGGCTAAGATCCTACTTTCGATTGTTTAGCCAAGTGCCCACAAAAGCTTCCTCTTCTCAGCAGCATAGTGATTTCCCCCTTGACTTAAAGCTCTTAGTTTTATAGCTTGCCTTTTCTTAGTTCCTGGGAGTGGGGTGGTTCCCTCCATCTCCCCCTTTATTCAAGGAAACACAGCACAGCATATAGTGCAAAGAAGTCTTGAATTTGGAATCTGAATCCTAGCTCGACTACTTTCTCCCTGTATGACTTGCGACAAGTCACTTTAACTTTCTTTGACCTCAGTTTCCTGATTTGTAAAATGAAAAAAGTAGACTAGAGAGCCATAAAGCTTCTAGGATCCAGATGAAAAACAGAAAATTGCACAGAATGTGGGCCAGCTGCCACTGTTACAAAAATGTTCAAGGCTTGTGTATTTAAACACAGAACCGCTCCTTAATTCTAAGCGCACAGCTGCGGCCAGAAGCACCTTTTGCAGACTCTAAGCACAGGCTACAATCTTTTTTCCCCACCCCCAGTGACCCCTGTAATGACTCACACCTCTGTAATTTCCAAAGTTGACATTACAAAGCACACCCATGGGCTAATAAAGAAAACTTGGCAGGACTCTGTTTGCTTTCCAAAGCTGAGGGACCTATGTGCATAAACTCAGAGATCCTAAGTAGACATGATGTGTGGACTACCAGCGTCACTGACTGTACCCATTATTGTATACATGTCAGAAATAAAGCATGTCTACTCTTGACTTTGCCAATTTAATGATATCATACAATGTCACACTCCTATAGTGGCTTTAAGGTTTACTAAGTGCTTTTACTAGGTGCGACAGGTAGTACTAATATCATTATGATACCCATTTTGCATTTGAGAAAACTGATATGAAGTGACTTGGCCAAGTCCACATAGCAATAATTCATTAGTTTGCTAATTACTCTTTCTGGATCCGGCACTATCACATAATCAGACACAAATCCTCTGGGTATACAGAATGGAAAATTATTTTATTAAGTGGCATAAGAATTGCTTTGTTTTATTTTTTGACTTGATGTGGAGACAAGTACAGGGAAGTTAAGTCCTATGAAAGTCAAGCTTACAGAAACTGACACATAATTGGTCAAAATAAGTATCTAATAATTCCTTTACTTCTTCCTCATTTGTTTTTTTTTGGGGGGGGGAGGGCAACTGGTGTTAAGTGACTTGCCCAGGGTCACACAGCTAATAAGTGTCAAGTGTTTGGTCTGAGGCCGGATTTGAACTCAGGTCCTCCTGACTTCAGGGCCAGTGCTCTGTCCACTGCGCTACCTAGCTGCACCACTTCTTCCTCATTTGTGGTGAATTCTCCTCTTTCATTTTTATTACCTGTAGTTTATTTTTTCTTTCATTTAAAAAAAAGCAAATTAGTTAATTTATCTATTTTATTTTTTAAAAAAAGCTTATTTTTCTTTAATTCTTTTTTTTTGCCTTCTATTTTGTTAATCTCTTCCAGATTTTTCTAGAAAAAGCTGTATGAGGTCTCTACGCTTTCCCAAAAAAGAGGCTCTAGTTACTATGCTATTAACTTCCTCTGGAACCAGCTTGACTTTCAGGCCTAAGCATAAGGCTTACTCAATAAAACTTGATCAAAGGGGCAGGACCTGGCCTGACCAACTAGCATCCCCCTTCTAGTAAGGTTGGGCCGAAGCTAACAAGACAGCCTTTCCACCCAGATTTCAACAAGTGCCTTTTGGGGTAGGAGAGCCCCGTGTACCACCTGTAGAACTGTATTTACATAATTATTGACAAGACAGGGGAAAATGAAGTAGATATGCTGTCTGGTCTTTTCCGAAACATACCAAGTTACCCTGCATTTGCTTTTTTACCCTCAATGCATTGAGAAACGCAGTAATTAATTTGGGATTTAACCTCATTACAAAAATCAGCCACTGAACTCCCTGTGGTTCAACTGTATATCACCGTAGTCCCTCAGGCACTGTACCAGTGACACAAGTTGGTACCAGAGAGTATTGCAACTGTAATAAACACTCAGATGTATTTGGTATCTGCAAAAGGCTACTAGAAATAACAAGTGGACCACCCCTAGTGACAAACAGTACATTCCTCACCAAAAAACTACTGTCTCCACCCAATCCCTCCTGCCCCAACTGCAGATACCACTCTCCACTGCCTGGACCTTCCCCAGCACAGAGACTGCCTTCATTCTATTCCCAAAATTCACAGCCCCAAGCCCTTTTGGAGCTCAAAGATTCAAGGCCTAAGGTTCATTCCAGCTCTAACATTCTAATATTCTGGCTGTGTGTGCTGTCAAGGCAGATGACAACTTTGTCTATTATGACTGGTCAGTAAGAGGAAGGGGTGCGTGAGGAAGGGAACTGAAGGAGTCCTATTAGGAGGCCTCCACTTCTCAGTAAAGCTCATCTTCTGAGTGAAGAGGCAGAGGTGAAACATCAACACACGTCATGGTACTTCACTTTTCTAGTTTGCAATTTTAAAATTATGTTGAAAATTAAAGATAAAAAACCTGGTGAAATTAAGGTATATAGAAAGCAAAAGATTATAAAAATCATCAGGCAAAATCTATACTTACAGGTAATATCTGGAAATTTTTGATTTTCTGGTGATGGCACAGTGTGAGTACAAATGCCTTTGGATTACTCTGGCTGTCACGAAGGAGGAAGAGCCTGAGGAAAGTACAAGAATGAGTTCATAGTAGATATAAAAACAGTAAAAATCCTTAGTTCTAAATCATAATAAAATGCTACCCTTGGGAGTCAGAAAACCCTAGGTTCAAATTCTGTCTCTCACCCTTATTAGTTGTGTGACTCTGAGTAACAATAATAATAATAATAATAATAACATCATAATAACAATAATAATGATGATGATGATGATGATGATAACTAGCGTTTATATAGTGGTTTTAAGATTTGCAAAGTGCTTTATACTAATATTATCTCATTTTATCTTTATAAGAACCCTGGGAAGTAGATGCAATTATTATCCCCATTTTACAGGAGAGAAAACTGAGGCAGAAGTTAAATGGCTTGTCGAGGTACATACAGCTAGAAAATATCTGAGGTCAAATTTGAATTCAGGTCTTCCTGACTCCAGCTGTGACCCTCTATACCACTCTAGCACTCTGGTCCACTACACCACATAATTGCCTCTCTTATGATGAGTTAAAAGTAAATTCTTATCCCTTGTTGAGAGCCGGTTCTTAGCCGGTTCTTATACAACTAAAGGGAAGACTCTTTCCTAACTATGAAGTTGAAATCTGGGACCTAGAGATCAGATCAGCAGTTTTGTCTCTACTCCCTGTGCCCTTGTACTTATAACCCAAAGCCAGAAGGTAGGAAAAAACAAAACAAAACAAAACAAAACAAAAACAAACAAACCCTAACTTATATTCTTGTGATGATCCATCAACACTCTGTCCCCCATAAGATACTAACTCTGAGAAATGGTCTAGACTTAGACCTTAACAAAAGGATTTGTTCTGTAAAACCTGGACTCAGTCAAAAGGCTACACTCAGTTAAAAGGACCTAGAAGGCCACATGTGGCCTCAAGGCTGCAGGTTCCCCACCCTGTCTAGGCCATCAGGGCTGTGGGACACAGTAAAGCTAACATGAGTTTTATCTGCCTCAACGGTACTATGCTGTCACCTACTATTTATCATTCAGTTTTTCTTATAGTCGATGTCACAACTTACATTAGGACTGGTGATTCTGAGGTTCAATTTCAATGACAATTCTAAGACAGGTCAATTCATTAAATATATGAAACAGGGCTAGTGTAAAGCTCTCACACTTGGATGAAAACATCTAATGGGAGCAAGAATTATATGAAGTTTGCTTCTCCTCCAATCAATCAATTAAGATATTTCAAGAACTTTACCCAAACACTTGGAGAAAGGAGTTAAACCCTGGTTCTCCTCATTTCAAAGCCCAGCACTCTATCCATTATGCTATGTTGCCTCTTTAGAGACTGCAGTACAAAAACCAAACATTACACTAAAATTTACACAGAAAAAAAAATTACCATTAAATTAAGCTTTCTACCAAACAGTTGACTGAGTAGAGTAGATGCAGTCAAATCATCAGGGTGGATGGATGGTCCAAAACAACTCATCACAGTAAAATAAAATCAGAATGACAGGGAATTCCTTTTCTAGGGACTAGATACCGCAGAATGCTTGAAGATAAGCAGTCAGTATCCTGTCTAAACCAAACTATCCAGTCCAATGATCTAGTCTTTTTCTGCCTACCAGCCAGGTGGCACAGTAGATAAGAGAGCACTGGGCTTGGAGTCAAGAAGACCTGGATTCAAATCTGGCCTCAGACACATATTTATACTATGTGACTTTGGGCAAGTCACTTATTCTCTGTTTGCCTCAGTTTCTCATTTGTAGAATGGGGCATAATAATAGTACCTACCTCCCACAGTCATTGTAAGGATCAAATGAGATAATAATTGTAAACTATTTAGTATAGTGCCTAGCACACAGTAGGTGCTATATAAATGATAGCTATTATTATCACTACCATTCCATTTGCTAGTCACAATCATTTGTTTCAGAATTTCTATTGGCATTCAATTGAATTGTTTTCTTACCCATCCACAAGCCCCTGTTGTTTAATAATCCTATGGGATTCTTCCCGAGAAATCCTTCCATGAAACCAGTTTTGTGTCCTATGGATCACTGTTTGAGAGAACGAGAAAGTATGAGTTAAGGTTTCTGTTTTTATTGTCCAGACTATTAACGTACTTGATGAAACTACAGTACAACTTAATATGTCTGAAATGGCATTTGCCATTTTACCACCATTCCCATAAACTATCCCACTTCCCAACTTTGTATGATCACAGGATCACAGATTAAGAGCTGGAAGGGTCTTTAAAGGTCATTGAGACCAGAGATGGAATACAACTGAACCAGATTAAAATGTAATTGCGAAAGGCTTAACAAAATAAATAAAAATACAATACAACACAGATGATGCTAATTTGTGGTTTTCTAAGTCAATGTAGAGATATATATATATATGCCCCCATATAACCACTGCCCTGCTTTAAGCCCTCATCATCTCTCTGGGTGTCCCTGCCTTCAATCTCTCCCCTCCCCTATTAGTGCTCCACACATCCGCCAAAAGGATGTTCCAAAAGTGAGAGTCTGACCTTGTCACCTCCCAGCTCAAGAAATTCTGATGGCTCCCACTTGGCATTCAAAGCCCTTCACAGTCGGGGTCCAGCCTACCTTCTGCTAAGCTCATTGTACACTACTCCGCTCCTCAGGAGACATTTGATGAAACAGTCTCCTTAATAGGCCCCTAGCTGACATTTCATTACCCATCTCCATGGCTTTGCAGGGGCTGTAACCCATGCTCGGAATGCACTAGTATCTTGCAGAATCCTTGGCTACTTTAATTGTTCAGCTCAAAGAAGAACCCTTATCCAAGGTTTAATCTGATCCCTTCAGTTGCTGGTACCCTCATTCTACCATAAGAAGACCATATATTTCACTTTATATACACTCTGCATTTGTTTACTTTTTGCACCTGTAATTTCCACCTTCATATTATAAATTACAGAAAAAGCAGCAGTCTGAAATAGTCAGTGCACACCCTTGGAGGAAAGGGACTGTTTCATATTTGTCTTTATACTCCTCCATCACCTAGTTCAATGTCCAGCACATACTGATGGCCAAGCATCTTACCAAGCACCTTTGTTCCAGGCACTAAGGACACAGACACAGAAATATCCTCTCCCCTGAGAGGGCTTAGGGACGACTTGTACATACATGAGCACAGACAGAAAATTTTCAAGGAAATTTTTTTGGTAAGTGGAGATGGCATGGAAATAGCAGGTATCAGAAAGCAATTGTTCTTGAAGTAACCGTTCCATCTCAGAACTTGTGACCCAAAAGGGAAGAAGTAGGTGGTTAGCAGAACTTAATATGTTACTTGAATTGGGTGAAATTAATTCCTATAGTCCAACTCCTGGAGTGTAAGATGGGCAAGCGTGGAAGCATTACAGGATTTTAGTCCTGGAAAGGACCTTAGAGATCGCCCTCATGTTAGACATAAGGAAAACTGAGGCCCCAAGAAGTATCATGACTGATTTGCCCATGGTCACCCAGCAGTGAGTAGCAGAGCCCTAAACTTCTATGAAGCCAAATCTAGCATTCTTCTAGTAAATCAAATAGCCTTTGTGAATAGCACTTTTCCAAATAAGCAAATAAGTCAGTCACCCATTTGACATCCCACATTTACCTGTGCTTAGCGTAGAAGGGTGGAGGGGACTTTGGCTACCTAAGACATTCATCCTTGTGCTTCGTTTCTGCAAAAGAAACCAAATTCCCTCAATTAATACTTAAGACCAAATAGGTGACTCATGACATGCAACCCTGATACAATCCAACAAGAGGGGCTGGAAAATCTGGAAAAAAGGAAATGCCTCAGAATATGCAGATTTTGAAGAGGTGATGAGATGAGTACACAACCTACCAATGGCCCTTAACCTTCTGTAACTGAAAGGAAACAAGGGTCCTGTGTGGACTGAGCTGGACACTTCATTTCACAAGAGATCGGTGGTGACGTGTGTGTGTGTGTGTGTGTGTGTGTGTGTGTGTGTGTGTGTGTGTGTGTGTGTGTGTTTAAGTCTATTTCCAATTCTGTCAATGTGGATAAAGAGGCTCTCCTTGTCTTTCAGAGAATGCCCTTGCTGGTAATGTCTGGGATGACCAATGACCACCAGCAGAAGAGTATGAGGATAAGGTACTCTACCCATTGTGTAGAGCATAAAAGTAAAAATTGTCCAACTTATTCCAGGTGTACTTCCTCTTGTACAATCTAGTGTCAAATAGAGTGGGAGAAAGCCATGAGTGATAGCACTGGCTTTTTTCCCTTCTGTTAAATAATGTGGTTAATTTGACAGGTTTGTCTGCAAAAACTGATTTGCAAATCGTCAAGAAGAATCTGTTGTGTCTGTTTTCCCCTTCAACCTTCTTCTAGATACCCCAAGGCAGAGATGAGCTAGTTGCTGTGAATGAGAGAGAAATGCTCCAGTGTGGAAATTTTTTTCTTACAGACCTGAACTCTAATACATAGGTATGAATAATCCATAGAAGAAGTAATCTACACTGGCTGTTGGCACATCCACATAGTGGTACGTCAGGCTGAAACTCACCAAAGAGGCTTAGTAAAGAGGAGAGGGGACAGATTATGTTACCCTCCAAGCATGACCCTCTTCCAAGGCTGCGCTCTGAGCTTCAGCAGGGTTCTCAATCACTCTTCCTGTCTGGCCAGAAAAGTCCATTGCTACGAGGGAATTCTCGGACACACTGCGCTGGAAAGGAATGGGTCAGGCTGTTTTAAAACTTGCAGCGGCACACATAGGTACTAAATAAGCATCGTAAAAATAGAAAAAAAAATTCTGCTTCTGCCCCCCCCCCCCACAAATGTTTAGATTGTGGCAGTTGAAAAGTCTTTATTTCCTGAAAGGAGAAAGTTTCCCATCTTTGTTTCAAGAGATTTCCTGTCTACCATTGTTCTACAGTTTGACATAGGGACCAGTCATTTTGCCACCTTAGACCTCAATGTTCTCATGTGTAAAATAAAGGCCCTCAAGGTCTGTCACCCTACGGTCTTTGGTTTTCCAACTTAGGGAAGAGGGCTCTTGGTCAAGTTTAGGGTTTTTTCCCTTTAGATGAGTGTTCTTTCTATTATCAGAGAAATGAACCAGGATTAGTAGCTCTTCTGGGGAAAAGTGCTCATGGAAGCTGAGATCAATCAATATAGAAGGACAATCTGCCCCAGGAGGCAGGCCTCTCTCCCTGTCTTGGTCTCCTGGGCTTCCCTGCTCTTTTTCTCCTCAGAAAGCATCATTGTAATGTGACAAGAACTCAACCCCCACCTTCCAACAACATGTATTAAATGCTTGAAAGGAGAAGATAATCAAGAAAAAATAAATCCAGTTTCCAGTCACAATAGGAAGGAACTAAGGGAGGTACATTAACTCCTTCAAGGGGTTAACTGGAGATAGGGTAGAGTGGGGAAGGCCATCTCTTGATAGGCAAAATCTTAATTAGGAAGATCTGGATTCAAGTCCTGCCTTGGACATGTATGAATGGGATGGAAAGGAGCATTTATTAAGTGTGCTGTGTGCTATGTGCTAAGTACTTTACCAATATTACCTCATTTGATCCTGACAATGACTTTGTGAGGTGTGTGCTATTAGCCCATTTTACAGTTGAGGGACCTGAGTCAGACAAAGGTTAAGTGACTTGCCCAGGATCACACAGCTAGTAAGTGTAGGAGGCTAGATTTGAACTCAAGTCTTTCTGCCTCCAGGCCTAGCACGCTATCCATTTTGCCACCTTGCTTGCCTTGGGCAAAAATTTTAATATCCTTCAGTGTCCAAAGCAACATCTAAGATTACAAATTAAGTGACTATCTGCAATGGTAGAGTGAGAATCACTCACCAGGAAACTTCCTATACCAGCAAAATCACAGATCCAGTAAAAAAAAAAATTTAACTGTTCGTACAGGAGAGATACTGTATCATAACAATCTATGAGAATTACTGTAACCACTTCTATGCCTCGCTTACCGCTGGAGAAAAAGCAGAGTACAGGAAAGTACATAGCCTGTGGAGTAAGATTTTAAAAAAAGAAAAAAAAAAGCAGGGCTCAATAGCAGAAAAAAAAATCAGTAGACTTAAAAGTCAGGGGAGATGGAGACTCAAATACTGCCCTGCTACCATCTAGTAGTCTGACCATTGTTAAATCACTTGCCCTTCTCAATTTCAATTTTCTCATCAGTAAAATGGGCATGATATACACAGTACTGACCTCATGATGCTGTTCTGGCATGCCACAATGTACCTCAAGCACTCTTTGAACCTAAAGATCAGCTAGTATTATCATTACTAAAACTATTCAGGAGAGTTGACCACTCATATTCATATTTCATAAGTTAATACAGATGGAAGAATAGGGCACAGGGAAGGAGGAGTCCTAAAAGCACACAATAATCAAGAAGTCAAGATAGAAAAGGAATGTTGAAAGAGAAAATAAATTCGGATAAAATGGAAACGCCACAGCTAGACTTTTCTGTTATGTGCGATCTGCTTTGACGAACGTGGAATAAACCAGAATTCTCCACCCCACCACCTCCCCACACAAAGTAAAGAGGTCACACCAGTACTTACCACCGGAGCTGAGAAGTGGGAAAGCCAGGCTTTCCTCTGCTGTGGAATTCTGTAATTCTGATAAAGGAGCATGCCGTACTAGAAAGAACAGAACAAGGTCAGTGACAGAGATATTTTTTCAACCCAAAAGTCATCACACAGTCGAATTTCATTATGATGAACGAGTAGTATTGAGGACAGTTCTAACTGGCTAACATGCTTCACGGCATAGAGGGCGGCTCCAGCGCAAACGTCACTGGCTTCGGGGCCAGCGGGTCTAGACTCAAATTTAACTTCTTATACGCGCCACCTGTGTAACCACAGGCAAGTCACTTAACCTCTGCCTCAGTTTCTTTCAATGATATTAAGTTGTTGACAAAAGGCTTGATGTCAAGAAAAATTTTCTAAGAATGAGAGCTATCCAAAATGGAGGCTGGGCTGCCTTGGGAGGTAACAGAAGGTTCCCCCTCATTACGGGTCTTGAAGGAAAGGCAAGATGATCACTTGTTTGGCATGCTGTGGCAGAGGGTATTCTTTCGGGGCCATGGCCATGAAGTCTGTGATTCTGTGACTCTCAGGATTGGTAAGGTCAGAGGTCAGAGTACAACCTGCATATCCTCTACAATGGAACCCACCAGTGGTCCTCCAAATTTGGTCAAAGACTTCTGGTGAGGGGAAAGCCTCTCCATTCCCTGAGGTCGCTTATTCTACTTTAGGGCGGTTCTGAGTGGGAGATTTTTCCTCATAATGACCCATCACTCCTAGTTCTGTCTTCTTGAGTGAAACAGGACAACTCTAATCTCTCTTTCACAAAACATTCCTTTAATTCTTGAAGACAGCCAACATGGAGCCTCCAAATTCAAATGAAATGAGTTTCTTCACCATTCTGGTTGTCCTCTTTCTAGATGTTCACAAGATTATCGACGTCTTTCTTAAAATGCTGCATCTAGAATTTACTACAATAGTCTGGATATTGTTGGACCAAAGAAGAGACTACTACATCTCCCTAGATGCAAACACCATAATGGCTCTCCAAGCATTTCAGATTTCATTAACTTTGGTGGTCACCATATCACAGGTCCCCTCGCTCCCACTGTCTCTCGGGGCGAGCACACTATATCCAGGCCCAGGACAGCCAGCTCATCACTCATAGCTGGGGCCTCGGATATCCTTTCTGCCACTGCCCGTGATGCTCACTGGGCCTGAAGCCTCAACCCCCATCATCATCCTTGCTTCTGGATCTTGTCATCAACCTCAGGGCAAATGTCCCATATCAACACGGGGCAGAGCGGTCAGGTGGGAATGACTAAAGGCCATATACCCACCACTGCCCATGGCTAGAGGCTGCCACGCTCACTTTGACATCCAACACCTAGAAGGAACTGAGGAGACCCTACAAGACCAAACTCTGAGGCTCAACTGGTCTTTCTCTAAGGCACAAACTTGAAAGTGACAGAATTCCCTAGGAGGGGGATCAGAGAGCTATGCTGCCCTATTCATCCATCAGCTGGGTCATGGGACACGTCTGGACACCCTGGCCCCTGCTGTTTCTTTCCCTACAACCATCCCAGAGAAAAAAATTAACAAGACAGGCACCCTGACTCTGACACACGGGTCCCCTCACTCCTACTGTCTCCTGGGCAAAGCAGAGACCTGGAAAAATGCCCAGAGCCTCTTATTAGGAAAACAAATATTCTTCTCTTGCCCTGGAGGGTGCCAAAGATTTCTCCCTCGCCACACTGCATGTAACATATTCCTCACCACTACTACTAACTCATATTGAGCACCTCCAGATTTTTTTCGTAACTATTTAGCTATGCCTCTACCATCTTGTACTTGTGAAGCTGATGTTTTGATCCCAACAGAAGATTGTTATTCCATGCTGTTTTAACAGTATCTAACCAATTACTTCTGGCCAGAATTCTGACTCTGGCATCAGTGTTAAGTAAGGTTAAGTGTTATGAGGAGGGCAGTATGAGGGCTGTAATGGCACCCATGAAAGCCTCTAATGTACTGGGTAGACCGCTCCTGAAGGAGTTATGGAAGAATATGGCCAACGGTTGCACAGAATGAGGAGTTGTGGCTAGCTTACCACCTGTCAGAGAGTATCCACATCGATTAGCTTATAGATCCCACAGGCCTACCTAATTATAGTGCTATGATCTATTTTTTGCAGCATTTTACAGTTTGAAAAAGCTTCCATATGCATTTCTCTCATTTAATGCTTAAAACAATCCATTAATTGGTCAGAGAAGGCATTACTATCTTCATTTAACAGATAAGGAAAAATTGAGATTTAGAAAGATTAAGTGGTTTACCCAAAGTCACGCAACTAGAAAATGAAGGAGCCTGTACTCAAAATCATTTCTTTTGACTGTAGGTACATTGTCCCCTACATTGCTTGGGGCTACAACCATTGTATAGGGTCCAAGAGTTTTAACTTGGGTCTAGTACTTTATTAAAAAAAAAAAAGGAAATATTATTCTTTGTCAATTCAAAGCATACACTTGGGACAAATTTGTTTTAAAAAATTCTTAATTTCCTCATACTTTCAAAATTAACACATAACTAGCAAATAACTTTTCAATCTTCCTTGAATAAGTTAACTTGCATAAGCCAGAAAAGCTATGATTTACTGTTAATGGGTCTAGAAGATATAAGAATTGTTCAGGTGTAGAAATCCAAGAACTGAGTTAGGTAATGTCAAGCAGAGCTTTGACAAATTAGATTAACTGTGATTCTCACTTTTAGACATCAGGGTCCCTAGTTTGAAGATCATAATTAAGTTGTATTAAAAGATGACTATTTCATTTCATTAAGTTCAGGCTGTCTCAAACTCAGATGGGAAAAAAAATGACACTCTAAATAAACTTCCTTACATTTGTAGGGTAGGCAACTGCAGACTGATGGATTCTTTTTCACTTTTATAAAGGCCAAGAGATGAAAGACACATTCTTATCTTCAAAGACCAAATTAGGCTAATAGATACTTCAATTGACTCCTACCTTCCAAAAGCTTCAGAAATCCTCTCTCTTAGATTAACAAATCAACAGCTAAATGTTAGAGCAAATGCAAAATATTTTCTTCAGATTCCTCTATGAAAAATGCTGAGATAGTCACAATTAGAATATAGTTCCTTGTTCCCCATCACTATGACAGTCAGATTTCACCATTTATCATCAGGAGAACACACAACTTCACCAAGGGAAGGCTAAATTTTCTATCCACTATTGGTCAACTGTAACTCTGAATCACAGTTTCGCATCTGTAAACTCTGATGATGAGAAGTAAATTAAAATGCAGCCAGAACTTCATCCCTGACAGATGACAAATATACCTATGCCTTTCTCTTGTACCTCTCATTACAGTGTCCTGGTTATTTGGGACAGATCTGGTCCAGAGTTCTCTCCCAAAGCCTCAGCATAACAGGGCATTAGCCCTGAGATATTGGCTGTGCTGGCAAGTATGACCAAGCTAAAAAGGCTTTGAGTAGACTTCCCAAAAGATGATGTGTTTATTGTCTCAGGACCAGGTAAGCTAATTTTGTGTACAAACTTGACCAACAAGGAAGAGGTTTTCTTTTATTTTTTTGCCAAGGCAATTCATCGGTTAAAGATTATTTATGAGTGAATGGAAAGAGTAGAGTAAGCATTTATATCGTGCCTGGTCATGTACAAGGTACTATGCTCAGAGCTTTTATCTCGTTTGGCATGAAGGATGGGGTTACAATCTATGTTTGAAGGAATACCTACAATCATTAAATGAACTTTCTTAAGTATTAAAAAAAAATTCTGTGTCCTCATTTGACTATAAGCTCCCAGAAGGCCAGGACTACACCTTATTAAATGTTGAATCCCACTGGGCATGGTGCTATATGTTTGTAGTCTCTGTTAGTGGGAGACTAGATCTGGTAGGTCACTTGAGCTTGGGAATTCTGAGCAGCAGTAGGACTAAAGCCGGTTCGGGTCTGTATAAGTGTGGCACCAAATACAGTGAGCCCCCAGGAATGGGGGCCCACCAGGCTGCCGAAGGAGAGGTTGGAAATAGAGCAAATCATGTGGCTTCCATGTGGCTCAGCACTGGGACTGAGCCTATGAGTGGTCACTGCACCTCTAGCCTGGGCAAGATAGGGAGACCCAGTCTGAAAACCATGAAAACCAACGAACGAACAAACAAACAAAAAGACAAACTAAAAATAAATGTTGTATGCCCTGCAATGTACAGCACAACGCTTGGCACACAATGGATACTTAATGATAAACATAGGTTGAGTTTAAGTGGATTTTCTTGATCAGATATACATTGTAAGATGACCAATATGGACTTTCTGTCCTTTCTTCCCTCCAGTGTTCAGCCCAGGGCCTGGCACATAGTAAATGCATGATAAATACGTGCTGCCTGAAGACGGTCAATAAATCACCATGGCACAGGTCATTTAAAGTCCACTTGATATATGTGTCCTAGGAGTTGCTAATGACTGCTCTAAAGATCAAGAAACTGACTGATCCGGAGGCACCTTTAAAATAGGGTACTGATGTGAAGCTAGGAGAGTTACACAGGATTAACATTAAGGCTTAGATTTCTTTCTTTGCTAGTCCTTTCAGGAAAGGAAATTGGAAAATCAGAGCCACATACAAAAGGGGATTTAAAATGAACTTATGACATAAGAACTCTGATCAACATGCTTGAGGAGCAATGAAGATTACCTACTTTCTGACAGGCAGTGGTGGTCTACAGATGCAGAATGAGACGTTTCTGGACACAGAAAATGTGGGAACTTGTTTTGCTTGACAATGTATATTTGTTAAAAGAGCTCTGATTTTCTTTTCTTTCTTTTTTAGCAAGAGAGATAGAAAATAAATGCTTAAGTAACAAAAATCATTTAAAAATAAAGTTTACTTATAAAAATAAAATTTTACTCCGACTTTCTAATCTGTCTGTGTCTGTCTGTCTCTCACTCAGAGAAGAAAGATTTTCTCTATATAAAGATTTTCTCTTCTGCACCTCTACTTCCTGCCACTTCGTTGTTTTATCCGCTAAAATAGCAGAGGCTTTTTCAAGCTAAATTTTTATCATCCTTGCTCAGCCTGACAACGGGTTAAATTAAAGAAGCATGTTTCAGCCTGGGTTAAACAACCTGAAGAAGTTGTAAGCTCATCAGTACTGCTTGGGATAGAAGTAAGAGGAGAGCTGGTCAGCATTTATATGGCCTCCCTCCCCCCACTGGGTTCATCTGCCTTTTCCTCTCATTTCTCCTGGCTGCCCTAAGCTGGGGGTGTGGGGCTATCAGTTCCTTGATGTACCTCCAACCCTGAAGGGAAATGTTAGTGAGTGACTGGTTTTGTGCCAGATCCCTGCCCTAGTCCAAAGGTTGTCAAAGTCCAAACCTGAATTTTGAAAGGGAAGGCATTTCTAAATGTCATTCACTTGCCAGTCACATTTCTCTCTCTTTCAGTTTGCTTCCTTCAGAAATACAGGAATCTTTCACCCTGGACATCAGGGAGTTACTGAATAATGAGAGACCTACTAGGAGATACAGGTTCTGGTTTTCTTCACCACTGTTTGCTGTTGTTCTTTATTAAAGATTAATAAAATTAAATTAAATTAAAAATTAAATGATTAATAAAGATTTCTGATACATCAGCCCACTTAGGAGGACCCAAAATATACTATAATTTCTTCCCTGATTTAGAGTGGAAAAAATATTAAGGGGCAAAGGCTACCCAAGCCATCATCTGGTCCAGGGGTTGGGAACCTGCAGCCTTGAGGCCAAATTCCAAACCGTAAAGTTTGGATTCAGTCAAAGGGCTGCACTTGAAGGCCAAGAGGCCACATGTAGCCTCAAAGCCACAGGTTCCTCATCCCTGATGATCCAACATCCTTATTTCACATAGGGGGAAACAAGAGTACTGAAAGGGGAAGAGTCACAGCTAAGTGTCACACTTGACAGGATCACAGCTTCTGAGCTGGAATGGCTCAGAAGGCATTAGGTTAGTAGTTAAGAGTTCTTTCAATTGGACCACATATAAAAATGATTTTATAGCTACTTACCTAAAGATGGGGGAAGTTGTTAGAATAGGGTAATTAGGGGAGAAAATTACAGTGTCCCTATAAAACTTCTGTTAGTAGCAAACTTTCCTTCTGATGTATTTTCCTCGGCAAATCTTTAATTTTACCTTAGTTTAATACGGTTTAAAAGTGTATTACTTAATTAACATTATGATTTCCTCTACAGTTTTCCTAAGAGCTGTACTGTAATGTAAAGAAGACCATATCTGGAGTGAGAAGACCCAAGTCAAGATTCCAGTTCTGCCATTTACAAGTTGTGTGACCTTGGGCAAGTCAATGAGTGTCAATTTTCTCATCTGTAAAATGGAGAGAGGTAGAGAGGCACTATCTAAGTCAAGATCAAAGGAGATAAAATGCAAAGGAAACAAAAAACAAACAAAAAAGCCCCTTATAAATATGAATAGCTTTTATGATTTACACAAAAGACAATGTGGGAGAGTGGGTAGAGTGCTGGACCTGGCACGGGGACCCAAGTTTGGAAAGTGTCTTCAAAACTTATTCACTGTGTGACCAAGGCCAAGCCATCTAACATGTCTGAGATGTAGAATGAAGACAATACTCACAGTACTTGCTTCACAGCATTTTTGTGAAGCTCAGATGAAACAATGCATTGTGAAGAGCTTTAGGAACACTGAAGTCCTCTATCGATGCCAGCCATTATTATTACTAACGAACACCCTTAGTTCTAGGAAGGCCTGATAACACTGTATTACTAAAGGATAAGGAACTTTTTCTAGTTCTATTCTTCCTTAAACACAAGTTATCAAACAGTCCAGGATACCTATTTAATCCCAAATCAATCCTCATATTTTTGGTCCATCGGTCTCAACATCTTCCCATCTTGTTTTTCTTTATCAAATCACCAAGTATCTATTGGAAATTTTGATCCTGTTGTCCTGTAACTACCTCAACTTCAACATGTCCCAAAGAGAGCTCATTGTCCTCCCCACAACACCTTCTCCCTCCTCCGGCACTCCCTAGTTGCTTTCAAGGACACCACCATCTTTGAATCTTCATTCTCCCTCATGCCACCTGGCAAACAGTCGCCAAATCTTGTTATTTTTAACGCTATACATCTCTTGCCTATGGTCCCCTTTCCTCTACTTACACAGCTACCATCTTAGTAGCTCAGGTCCACATCATCTCTTGCCTGGATTACAGTAACCTCCTAAGTGGTGTTCCTGCTCTCAAGTCCACTTTAATCCCTCCTCCACACAGCTGCCAAAATGGATGCACACATGTCTGAGCTAATTTAGGTGATGTATTCTTGGTTGTCAGGCTTCCAAAGAGACATGAAAACTATGAGATTTGAGTCATACCAGACTGGGTCAGACCAATGGTCTGATGTTCTCCAACAGTGGTACCAAGAGACGTCCTAGTCTCCAGGGAGAATATCTAATTGTATTTCCACAGCACTAAAAGGCTCGGGTCCACTAAATTTAAGTTGATTTTTTGTTCTCAAATATGGTAGACATCAAAACAATGGCTCAGTATTTACAAGGAAAAACATATTAACAAACTTCTATTTTCTATTGAATCAATAAACATTTATTAAGTGCCTACCATGCTCCAGGCACTATGCTAAGCACTGCATGTGGCTGGCTGTTAAATGAGAAATAAAATACCTTGAGGAGCCTAAATGCCGTCATCCAACACGTTCTGTTCTGTTCATCTTCAGCACACAGTAACCTCAGGTCTTTTGTCTCATTCCTTACTTTGTTCAGCTACAAGAGGACAAATGAACTTCAGTCAGTGTCACTATGAAAAAGAGCAGTGGAACATATTAAAAAAAATAGAAACAATAGTTACATAAACTAAGAATAACTAATTAGTGACAGATATATAGAAATGAAAATGTAGCACCAGCATTTAAAGCACCATGGCTATACATCCTCTTCAAGGGAATTGGCAGATTATCACTGCTGGTAACCAGGGTCAAAATGGAAAAAGATGAGTTACGAGTGACAAGTTAAAGTTATGCTCTAGAATATGGTCAAGGAAAAATTGGAGGAAAGGACTGATGCTAAGGGTGAGATCAGGTATGGGAGAACCACTTATGGTTGAACTCTGGAAAGCATGGGTGGGAAATAATGATAAATAAGGCCTATCATTAAGCCAAAATTATAGTCAGGTATCATTGGCCAACATCATTTTAACAGTTTTGGGAGGGGGAAGTTAAGTGTGTAACTACAAGGTAAGAGTAAATATCTCAGAATGGTATTTGTAACCATGGAGAGGTTGCTATGGTAAGCACTTAATACCCAAGTGGAATGACTTTTACTAATACTAAATGGTGATTGCTGTAGTGAATGTTGTATAGGTATTAATTCATGAATATCCTACGAATGAAGAGACAGAATCACAAGATCACAGAATGTCAGTGTTGGAAGGGTCCCGAGAGCCATCTAGTCCAAATAATACCTAAAAAAATATCCCTTTTCACAATATGTGACTAAGATGTTATTTGGCCTTTCCTTGAATTCCTCAAATAGTGGGGAATCCACCACCTCCCCAAGGTAGCTCATTCATCCCAGACACCTCTAACTGTTAGGGAATATTCCAACGTCATACTTCGTTTTCTGAATTTCACTGGCAAAGGGTAGAAATGATATAGGAGGCACAGGATTGAGCACCAAGATACAGTCCTCTATACTGCCCCTGCCAACCCTGTTCGTGTAAGACCAACTATGACCTCTTGCCTACTGGACACACACAATTGTAATTATTTGAAGATGGTTCCTCAACCAACAAAAACCACATGAGGTCAAGTTCTTGCATTTCACAAGTGAACAATGATCGATGTAAGTTACTTCTCAGGAGGGTGGTCTTCCCTCTCAGCTAGAGCCAATTCACAGAACCAAGGGACTTCTGGTACAACCCACTCCTGAGAACATTTCCACTTCCAATTATGCCAAGTAATTAGCTAATCTCTGCTTCAAGACCTCTAATAAAAGGGATCCCATGACCTCCTGTGGCACTCTATTCCACTTTGGTGTAGCTCTCATAATTTGGAATTGTTTCCTAATATCCAACTTAAATTTGCCTTAGTTCCTACTAACGTGCTCAAATGCCTCTTCCACAGAAAAGCCCATCAAGTGTCTGAAAAGTACCCTCTGAATCTTCTCTGCTATAAGTGAAACAGCCCCAATTTCTTTAACAAAAAAAAAAAAAGATTCTTCTGCAGTGTGACACCGAGGCTCAGGCTTGAGAGGCCTATACCTCATATAGGGCTACTGTCTCCCCTGATCTTATCAAAAGCAGCTTTGTTCCCAGAAGACCTGTTAGTCAAGGAATCTCCATAAAGTTATGTAGGGAAATCTGGGAAATCCTTGTGTGTGATCAGGTAGCAGAGACAGAAAAAAAGAAAGAAGTCAAAATGGGCTAGCAGGACGCTCTAAAGTAGCTCTAAAGTAACAGAAATGAATGAAACTGCTGCCCATGGAAGAATAACATGCTGGCCTCGTGTGCACTGAAGGATAACATCTATGCAACAAGAACTCTATTCCTGGTGGGGCTACTTGAACACATACAATTGAGAGAGATGAGTTTCCACAGACTTAGAGTCTAGTACTCTACTTCCTTATTATACTTAATTGTCGTTGAGTTGTTTCAGTCATGTCTGACTCTTTGTGACCCTGTCTGGGGTTTTCTTGGCAGATACCAGAATGGTTTGCCATTTCCTTCAGCAGCTCATTTTACAGATGAGGATGCTGAGGCAAACAGGCTGCAGTGACTTGCCCAAGGTCACACAGCTAATAAGTGTCTGAGGCCAGATTTGAATTCAGGAAGATGAGTCTTCTTGACTCCAGGACCAACACTCTAACCATTGCACCACTTACCTACCCCCCCTGTTAGACTTGGTATACATTTCAGATTTAAAAATACATGTTACAGACAGAGCACACTGCTCCTTTTCAATCTGTTTACTTAAGAGAAAACTTATGAGCAGAGACTAAAATGACATAAAATCTTTCATAAAAGATTCAGTAAAGACTAAATTAATGTCAGAGGCTATAGTACTTGAGCTAGCTCCCAAAGAACATTAGCACCAACTTCCACTTCTCACAGTTGGATCTTCCAAAGGGAGGGACGCACAGTAACTGTGTTTTGACTGCTTATCATGCTTTGGATAAGACAAGCCATATTTTTGGAGTCATGTCAAGACCTACTAGTTAGAGGAGGCCACAAATCAAGATTTGCCACCATTCTGTTATGATATCTGGATTACGCTTATTACGTAATTTCCAATTCTAACGTAAATGTATTTTTGTTTAGAATGTTTGAATACGCTGTGATATCAACATTCAAAACTGCTAGAGAGCTCTGTTTTCCTCGGACCCTCAGTGCCTACTGTCAATATCAGGCATGCGAGGTTTAATTGTCCATAACTATGTACTTTCTAGATCAGGGTTCTTGCCTTTTTTTGTATAGACCCCTTCTCAGAAGAATGTTTTTAAATGTGCAAAAGAAAATAAACAAGATAACAAAAGAAACAAATTTATACTGAAATATGGTCATCAAAATACTAAAAAAAAATGTTCACAGAATGAAGATTAAGAAGCTCTGCTCAAGATGCTCATAAGGATTTAAAGGTTGCTGGATGTTGATGCGTGTTACTAACCAAACTTATGTGATATGAAGGTACCCTTTATTTGAAGTTGAATACTACATGTAATTGAAAGATCAAAACATCAAGAAAATGGCTCCATTTAAGTAGATAGGGGCTCCCTCTAAGTTGCATAATACTGGCCAATCTACATTGGTGGAAGGAACTTGCTTACCCAAGAATCCTTCAACATAGAGGCCAATAAACGGAAAGAACCTGGTTTTTCCTAAGGAAGGAATTTGCTTTTTCATTTAAGAACTACATATGCAAGGTCAGGCACATTCATGACTGAGGGCTTTTTTTCTAAGAAGCAGTCCCATTAGGTAACTAGCAAGAACTTTGCTAACAAGGGGCTTGTCTGAATATGTAAGTGTAGGAACAAAAGAAATTTCACTAAAAACAATACAAAACAAAACAACTGAATTTATAATAAATTGGTTCATGTTTGCTTAAGTAGTAAGGAGTTAAATTAGTGTTAAATTATGTCAAATTTCTAAAGAAATTTAAATATGAAAACCTACATATTGTCTCCTTCTACTAGATAGTCATTGTAAAATGCAACCTGCTGAAATCTATCCATATGATAACATCAAATGTTCCAATTCAGTGCCTAAAAGGCCAGGTAGTTTCTAGATGTATTAACTGTTGAAAAACATTACCTTTATACAAAACCCATAGTCTGTAGGGGCATTATACTGCTTCTTGCCTGCTATCAGGGAAAAGATATTGCTGTCTTCCAGATCAGCCAGTAACTGCAGGTGCCTTGGCTCCTGCAAAAAATTATTGTATTGTTAGAATTCTAACTGACAAGAGCATTTCTGACAGCAAACACTTTGCATTTCCACTCCAACAGAGGGCAGTATATGCACATTTAAATGACATCTTTGATTCCTTCCAACTTGTGGAGAAGGCAGGAAAAATATCACATCTTTAGGAGACACTTTTTAATATGCGCTAAAGAAATTTTAAATTCCCCCAGTGTAAGGTTTATTTTAGTCCACATTCGATAGCCTTGCCAAAGAAAGTCTCCTCAACTCTGAGCAAAACTTTTAGAACACACAGAATGAAAATGGAAGAAAGATTCCATTGAGGCAAGCTTCTCCTACTGAAACAGGGCAGAAGCTATCAAATATGTGGGTCAGGAGTGAATTTTATTTAAAGTTTTTGTCATTATTGTTATTAACTAAATAATAATACCTTACATTTATCTGGCACTTTCAGATTGATAAGGAACTCTCATAGAACCATAGATTTCGAGCTAGAAGGGAAATCAGGTCATTAACGGTAACCTCCTCATTTCTGAGAGGTTTAAGTGGCTGGCCCAAGACCACAGAACTAGTAAGGTCACTGTGCCAGGCTTGCTCCCACCAGATCTCCTCTCAGTGCAGTGCTCTAAGATACTCTGTTTTCTGGACATTTCACTTCAAAGAAACCAAAGACAAAAAAATGGTTTAAACAAATCCGAAAGTTCAAATTGGACAGTCATAATCTGGAATGCGTTAGTATCTGACTAAATGTTTTAGAACGTAATTTACCTTTGAAGTTCCTTTTGTGGAGCAATAAAGTCCTGATCTTCGCAAACAGACATATAATTTTTTCCAGGACTTCCTGCCTAGCTCTTTCACATGTAAAAAACCTTGAATTTCAGGACAACTGCTGGAGTTTAAAAAATTCTGTTGTAGGCAAAATTAAGTAAGAAGATTAGCAGACATTCATGTGAAGTGAATAGTGAACAGACAGGTACAATCTAGGAAATTCAACATTCTCCCTGTTGCTAACAATATATACTTCAAATAGCTTAATTTGGCTTTATTTTTCAAATGATCTTATTAAATTTTTTCTACTTGAAGGACAAAAAAGCCTAAATTCACTCTGGATGTTATATGTTATACATAAATACATTTTTAGCAAATCATAATGGAAAATCTATGAAATCATAAATTCACCCATAAAACAATGGTAGAGTTTCCACCAAAGTCCTGTTCTGTGTCTTTGTTATGTCATGGAGGTGACTCCCAGTTCTAGAAGACCATTAATTATGCATAAGCTATGACAAAGCCTACCAAAATAGAACGGCTTTGAATATAGGCCCTGTGATGGCTGCAGGCTGTTTTGTCCAAGAATCGACCTAAGTTTGGAGAGGCTCATTAACAAGTTAGGTGCATGGTTGGTGAGAATTTTCAACCTTGGCAAATTTCAAAGACAAACTAAGTAATAGAGGGTTTGAAGCCACAAGATGGCTTCATTTTTGCCTCTGTACCCCCAGTGCCCAACATATTAATAAACACTTGTTAACTAACTGATTGACTGGGATCAGTGTTGATGATGAAAGTACACAAACTGACCACATTATAGATTCTTGAGGTACTCAGCAAAATCATTCAGGATGCTGTCCTCACATTCCTTACTTAGGTTTTAATAACACTAATACATAATCATCAGAAACGTAGAGTTTAGAGGACCCAGAAAACCTGATGACTGTTCAATTAACCAGTAGTCATTATGGATTCTCAGAACTGTGGCTAACACTCAATGAAACCATGTTTCTACAGCCTCTATGTTCCAAATTTAATTGAAATCTGAAAAATATTATGTTGGTATGACTTGTCTCTTTGACTTTCTGTGATGGATTTTGCTCGTTTCAAATGTCTTGCTGACAACGTCACCATTTCTGTTTATTCATTCCCTACAAGCAGCTTGTAACTCAACAAGATGGGAAGGATGTTTTCACTCAAACCACTTAATTATCTCCTTCACCACAGGGAAGATGTGAGGCAGAAAAGAAAAAGCCTATAGAGAGTAGAGTTTTATTCCAATCTGAGAAATGCTGCTGTTCATCGACAAACATGAAGTGGGAATCAGGGAGGGGTCTGACTGGGGAAGCCAGATGGATTTTAGTTTCTCCTGTGTTTGGTCTTCACAATGGGCCATAATTATTTAGTTTAAGAGTTTGAGTTCTTAAGAAATCAGGCACACCCTGTACAAATAAAAGAACAAAGTTAAACTTAATGCCACTACTCCATTCTACTAGCCATGAGAACTGAAGGCTGGCCACACTTTAAGAAACCAACAAATGGTGTAGAATTTTTGGCTGTCAGATGAACCAACGAAAGTCCTGATGCTGAAGTTTTGCAGACTGTGGAACTGAATACAGCAGAAAAGTACCTCTGTCCAAAATGAAAATCTGAAAGGGACAAACTTCTGACTATTGTCCCTTATGCTGCCTGTCATTTTTGTGAACTGTTTACATCATCACATTAGCAAATCTGGAAGAGTTATATCTGAAAGACTTTTCATAAACTCCTTCTCCTTCTCCTCGCTTCTCCAAATTTAACTATCTAGAAAAGTGAGAATATGTTTTATTTAAAGGAAGAGGGACAAGATTCGTGGTTTCACTGGTTTAAGGAATTCCCTACTGAGGGGACACCGTGTGCCAATGCAGATCACCACCACCTCTGCAACTTAAGACCTCAAACGCTGCAGGGAACACTGATGAAATGATCTGACTTGCCCATGGTCACATAGCCAGAGCCAGAGAATACCCAGCTCTTCCCTGAGGGCTCCCTGAACCCTACACGTCAGGTTGCCTCTCTTTAATGATACAACCATTTCTAGACTACGTTATGCCTTTAAAAAAGTTTTCCTTTCACTAAGCCCAAAAGGGAGGCTTCGCAAATGTTAAACTCCATTTTATAGATGGGAATTCTTAACTTTTTAATTTTTTTTTTATTTTGCATCTGGTGAAGCCTCCAGACCAATTCTCAGAATAAGACTTTTAAATACAAAAACCAAAGTACACAGGATTACAGAGGAAACTTATTATAGTGAAATACATGTTTTTAAATACAAGTTCATAGAGGGGTGACTTTCCCAAGATGACTCTTTGTCCAGAGCTTTTTTCACCAGACTACCTATAATGAAACCTCACGTAAAAGGGTACCTGAGAAAATGAACATAAAATTTTCGGGGAACACTGATGCAGCATTAAGGTTCCTAAAGAACATTTGCCTTTCTTTATTAGGACTCGCTGTTGTTGAGGCATTTCAGTCACGTCTGATAAACTACCAAAAACAGAGCTTTATTTTTGCTAGCTAAAAATCTAGCTTATCTTAGGGTTAAGTACTAAACCTTTTTCACATAGATTTAAAAAGGATCTGACAAGAAACTAGCTTCCTATTCTTCATCTGACCACTGACCACTTGCTTGGTGGGAGCCTGGGGTCAATGTAAACAGTATGAAAAACAAATGCCCATCTGTTTTTGATTGCCTTCCCGTTCTGGCCCACTCTTGAGATCAAATGACTCGCAGTTCTTTTCAGAGTCAAAGTACGTTTATACTATTTTCTAACTGATCATTTAAGTTAGAAAAATTCTGGGCACATGAAGATTTCCCAAGTGAGCATTTATTTTTGGTTACCATAAACCAAACCTGGGGATGAGGCAGTGACATGGATAAGGAAGCAGCCACTTCGGAGTTATTCATAATTACACAATTACAGCTCCTCTGGGCTTTTAACCTCCCCCCTCCCCTTTTAATAAACAGCACTTCAGCAGAAGTATATCTCTGCAGTACCTGCAAAAGCTGAGTTGGGGGAATACTGCCATTTGACTGCTGACACCAAGTCACCATCTGTTCTGGGAAGAAATTCTAGGAAAACAGGAACAAAACCAAACATGGGAAAAGTTAGTCTTTTCTTCCACTTTAAGGCCATGTCAATCACGTGTGCTGATTATAAACATTTTGACTCCAAGTACCTCAACAGACCCTCTGTACTCCTCCTACACCCAAACTCCTGACTTTTTCAATGTATATTTTATAAGCAGACTCAAGTACTATGAAATTCAAATTTTAAAAAATGCTGAATCTAGATTTGGAATTTCTAAGATGGTTTGACATTCATTCTGTTAAGAATCTCTCATTTTGCATCTGGTATAAACATATGTATGGAAGATCTGCATTACAGACCATCGAATTACGTGGCTATAAGGATAATCAAACCTTTATACATTATAAATTAAACTACAATAAAAATTTGCACTCATTTGGAAAATCCCTGTGTCATATGGTACTCAAAACTCTTATACTTTAGGTCACAAAAATCATTATGGGTCCCAGAAACAAAGTCTTATTATTCCAGGTTCTATAATCACTGCAAGGACTTACCACAGGATTTTTGAAAAACTCATATTTCGCATAATTCTTCCTGAATAAAAATTTACTTTCACCTCCCATTGTGCTTTCCACTTGGACCACCAGCTCATGGTCTTCTAAGCACCTTTCTGCAGAGAAAAGGTAGGATCTGTTTTAAACTTTTCTAAAATCTTATTTACTTGTTTGAAATATAATGTGAGAAAATGTTTTAATGGCTGAATAAGGATATGTCTAGTAAAATGGCGCATCCCCATTCGCACTCCTGTTAATCCAATAACAAAATAACGGACTTTGATATTTGGAAGAAATATGTGCAAAACAAAATTAAAGACTAATCTGGAGGAAGAAGAAAAAGGAAATAAGTCAGGAGAAGAGGATGAAAGGAAGAATAAAGACTGAAAGATGAAAGAGATTTTAATGCTTTTGGCTAAAGAAGGCATATGAAGAGCATGAAGTCTGATGAGGAACGCACTAAGGGTGGGAGAAACAATGGTAAAATGAAGACCAGATCACTCATTACCCCTTGGAAGAGTCATTTCTCTTCCACGTTAGAGCATCTGACTTCTCTGACAGTGCATATCTAACTCAGCATATACTAATGTGGAACTTGTTTGGAAATGCCATTTCAAATACAAGCTTTGCCCTGGAGGCTGTTGGTATGGCCATATAAGCCCTTAAAAATATGTAATGTGATGAAAACAAAATCAGGTTTTAAATTAATCATTACAGGTAGTTGCTTGTTTCAGATTTAAGTGGAAAATTATTTATGGGAAGAATGAGGCATTGCCTAGTTAATACTGTATTCCCAAACTAAACCGTGTGAATGACTGACTTAAATGGATACCTGGAAATAAATAGGCACAACACAACATTATGAGCCACTAGGAAGGAATGAAGGCAGAACATAGCCAGGCTTTGGTTGTTGGAGATACAGGTGGCATGATGGGTATAAGTGCTAAGAACCTGATTACTGAAATGTCAAGTTTCTTATGTGAGGCAAGGTATTAAAGATACTAAAAGAACATAATTTGTGGCCTATTATCCATAGGTAGGAACAACCTTTTGTTTAAGATAAGATCTCATGACTGAGGTGAGAGAGAAAAGATTCAAAGCCATTCTGAACTAAAGCAATATCAAGTCAATAGTAACAGCTGTTCCACTTTAAAGACCTCGTTCACAGCAGCCCCCAAGAACATCTAAGTGGAGTGTCTAAGAGTTATTTCCCAAGGGCCAAAAGATCTTTTTCCTATTTCTGATGCCTGGTTCTCCCTCTAATGATTTAAAGGGGATTTTTAGCTGAGAAAAGAATTTCTCTCCATGAAATGCAATCTGCCTGCCCCATGCAAATCAGAATAGACCAAAACTGGCATCTGTTCTCCCCTACCAACCCCAGTTAGCTGATTTGTCCTGGGGCTTGGTCTTGATATTATAGGAAAGCTACTCCTTTGTGTTACCATTTCAGCACTTTGCAAATAGTAAGTCCCTTAATACATGCTGGCTCTTTGCTACGGAGTGGAATTTCTCCCAACACTACTGAGCAAAGCTACTGAGAAGTCTAGGATAAAAATGAGATATAATATATGTATAGTGCTTTGCAAATCTTAAAGCATTATATAAATGCTAGTTATTATTGTTGTTTTTAATCATTATTATTGTTATGCTGCTGCTGTTGATGATGATGGTGATGAAGAGAATGCTAGGACTGATGTGAGAATTCTACCAGATCAACCAACGTGTGGCACATTTATTCTTTCCCCTTATTTTCTTGCCCTCTAGCAATAACTTCTTCCCTTAACCTTGCCCTCCAAAAAAAAAAAAAGAAATGGAAGAAACTAAACAATTAGTAAAATTTTATGCATAATAAAATCATATTGCTATGAAAAAGATTAAGATCAATGTCAATCCAGAAAGGGTGAATTTTCCAGAAAAACAGAGACACAGACATACACCCCCTGCAATGTATCTATTTCCATAATGAAGAAGGATAAAAATATAATTGTGTTTTTCTTTTTCCACTTTACTAATGAATTTAGAGATAGTGAATGTAAGCAGTTTCAAGGCAATGGCCTTTAAGTTAGGAAGACTTAGATTCAAGGCCTGTTTCTCACATGTACTACTTTGTGACCTTGGGAAAGTCACTTGACCTCTTAGTCACCCCCAGACAACTCTGTGTAAGTCTGTAAACTGTAAAGGAGCTACATAGGTAGAGAGAATGTCTGCCGTGTGAACCCTCTGCACTATTAAAATCACATATCTGGCCTAAAATGATTAATATGTCTACAAAATAGAATGCTGAGGTAATTTTTTAAAAAATCATACATAATATTCAAATCATCTTTTACCACCATTTTCAAAGATGTTCAGTGGCATGATGTCAAACCAGGATTTTTTAAACAGGATAGCAAGTGGTGCGGGCTTTAAAAAAAAAAAAAGGAAGTTGCCTCATGCACCACATAGAGATAAATTCTATAGGTACAGAACTCTTACCACAAAGGAACTGTCATCTCTAGATGCAAAAGTCAGCAGTAGGGTGACAGAGTATTCATTAACAGAATGGCAGCCAGGCTAAGTCCCAATGACAAAATTAATGACAAAATGACACTTAGCTGCAACACTCGGTCATGTGTGAGAACAAAACACCCTCCATCCCTAAACTAAAATTCAGTCAACATACCAAGCCCATCACAGAACAAATAGCATGTCAACATGCATTTAACAGCTGTTCAGAATTTTCCAAGATTGTAATAAATTTTGAATAAAGCAATCAGCAAGAGAACATGCTCACCGAAGATAATGCTGATATTTGGCTAAGCTGCCTTCTTTTTTTAAACGCTTTGGGGGAAGGGATACTTTCTAGATTTGGGTAACTTTCTGGATTTACAAGTTACTTTAAAACTTTTGCACATGTTGGTATTCTCTTCATCTATTTAGGATCCAAAACAGAGAGCTATTCCACAAAGTTATTTTCACTCCATTTCCTGTTTGACAAAAATAAAAAGGAATGGAAATATCCCAAGGAAGAATGCCATCTTAACATTTTTTGTTTCAGCTTAATTCAACAGGCCTGAGGAGTCAGCCACTGGTATTTTGTGTTTGTATTTTTGTTTTGAAATTTGTAAATCAAATTCAATCAGTCAATAAACATTTATGAAGTACCTACTATGTGCCTCTCTCTTTTTTTAAAATTCTTATGGTGCTCACAGTATAATGGGGGAGATAATGTGAGAATTACATACAAACACAATATATAAAGGATTAACTGATGACAATCAACAGTGCAGAGGCACTAGAATTAAGGGGGATTGGGAAAGGCTTCCTATAGAAAATGACTGAAGGAAGCCAGGGGGGCAAATGGCAAATAAGTGCCTTCTTATTCTCACACCTGTCCTCAGCTATCTGGTTTCTGATCCTCTTATCCATAACCACATCTTGGACAGAAATTATGCTTCCAATTGTCCATGAAACACTTTATATAGGGAGAGTGGCACACACATCTTCATGAATTCAGTGCATCATTTCAGTAGATATTTAAGAGATATGCTTACCTAACAACTTTCATAGCTGACTATTCAATATAATGTAATTTACACCAGAATGTGCCATAATTAAATCAATCTTGGACATACTTTCCACTCACATGCTGAGCAGTAGCAGAGCAGACGGCAATGTCTTCCCAACACCACTTCCTTAAAATGTGGGCATTCATCTAGCCTGTACTTTTCCTTTTCCTTGTTATATTCAGTTATAATTTGTCTCAATATATCAAGAGGGTGAATGTCAGAAGAACTTGGCTACTGACTACTAGAATTTGCCCTTGCAGCTCAGTATTGAACTCAGCACCTGACACAAAGCAGGAGATTCATAAATGCTAAGTGACTGGTATTAGTACTGGCTAAAGTATATTTCGTGTGTGTGTGTGTGTGTGTGTGCATGTTTCCACTTTCCCTATATTATCTATCTATCTATAGCCACTTTCCCTATATTATCTCTGATCCTCTTGCCAGACCAGGGAGATTGGTGTCACAATCAACAAATACCCTCTACAAACCTGAAAGTTTGCAAAGCACTTTCCATATATTATCTCATTTAATTTTCACAACTTAGGAAGAAGAGGCTATTATTCCCATTTTAGAGATGGGGAAACAAAGGCTTAATGAAGAAAAATGACTTGCGCAGGGTCACAGCTACTGAATGACTTGAGGTAGAATCTGAACACCTATCTTCCTGCTTCCAAGTCTGGTGCACTACCCGCTTTGATGTGATGCCTTCATGAGAACACGGAATTTTAGAGAAATTAAGTGACTTGCTTATGGTTATACAACCAGTAAGTGCCAGAGGCAGGATTAGAATTTGGATCTCTCCTGACTCCAGGACAAGCAAGCATTCTTTCTAACTAAACATAGTCTCCACTGTTGGCTACAAATAAAAGGTTCTTAAATTATATTGAGATAATTAAAGAGAAATGGCCACAGCTTATTTATGGCAGACACAAGGTCACTGAAAAGAATACTATATATGCTATTTACACATATGCACCTCAAGGTTCAAAGGTATGGATATTATGAATTAATTTGCAAGAGGCTATGGGGTTTGCATGTGTCCCAAAAATAAGTTAGATAGACTGGTACCATAACAAGTATTTGGTATGGATTTTTCAAAATGTATTAAATAAATAGCTCCAGTCAAACCAAAGGAGGGGATTAGTACTGACATTTTGAACTGACTGCAAAATATTACCCCTCTCTGAATTCTCAGTAAGGCACTGGGGAAACATGGTAGAGAAAAGGTCCCCAGGCAAGAGATTCCACCATCTTGAATGACAGCAGGGTTATCATCCCTTTCACCTCCCCAGCAGTCAGTGGGATACTGACTGCTGCCAATAATCCATTACCAGCATTCATAGCTGAGGACTGTGAGATGCTTCAGTCACTCACACATATGCCATGTTCTCAGAGCTAAAAGAAAGTCATTCACATCAAGCAACTGCTATCTTGGGAACTACCCCCGCCTTTTCTAAATCCATCATTCATTTTTTTTTAATGTGAAAAGTGTCTAATATTTTAAAAGAATACATATTTAAGCTGGAAAAAAATTACTCAGAGAGCAACGCTTCAGGATGCTAGCTTTCTGAGTCTACATAGACAAATAATTGCTTTCAAAATTATATCCCTGCAACTTCACGATCTTGTGCAGATCAGCTGGAGTTTTCTGGACTACCTATGGCTAAATGGTAACACACTGCATGAATACATGTGCAAGAAGTCTAATTTTTAATACTAAGCTAAACAAAATATAATTGAAAAGGTAAAATTTATTGGGAACAAATTTCAAGAAATTAAGAAGAAAAAAAATCTCTGTACAAAGATGTTTATAGCTGCTTATTTGTAATAATAAAATACTGAAAACAACAGAAACGGCCAAGGGTTGAAGAATCACTGAACAGTTGTGACATTAAAGAACGGAGTACTATACCACCATTAAGAATACCAAATAGGAAGAAAAAAATTTAAAAAATAATGGAGCATGTCAGTGTATGTATGTATGTATGTATGTATGCATGTATCTATCTATCTGTGTGTGTACTGACTACAATTTTCTAAAAATATACTGCTACTCATATGACAACATAAAATCATTTTCATAATAGGGGCAACCTGGCATTGTGAACAGAATGCTAGTCCTGGGACTCAGAAGACTAAAACCTGCTGTAGATACTTGCTAATTATGTGACCCAAATCACTTTACCCTTGACTTCATCCTTCAATTGTAAAATGAACAGGTTAGACCATACAGTCTCCATGGTCCTTCCTAGCCTTAAATCTATGATATGATGGCCATATGAGCTTAGTCATTACAAGCATGAGCCTCAATGCAACTAACCTTTCTTCCTAACATTCAGTTCTGGGTTTAGTTCACTGTCTATTCATTTATTTGTATTTATTCCACTAATACTTCTTTTCAAATATGCGTGTGTGTATATTTTTGTATCGTGTGTGTATGTATTTTCGTCTCCCCCGTCAGAAGAGAAGCTCCTTAAGAATGAGGATTTTTTTCTTTTTTTGCATTTGTATCTCTAGTGCCTGGCACACAGCAGAGATTTAATAAATGCTTATTGACTGATTATGGAAAAATCACTTAATGAGAACCTCAATTCCATCATCTATAAAATGGAGATCATGCTTATACTACTTACTAAGAAAGCACTTTGAAGAAGAATATAAGTGAGTTATGCGATCAAAAAAGATTTAGAGGAAGCTATTCATAAATTGCTGCATGTACGCCAAAGTATAGTTTTCATTGTATGTGTGATTAATATTCAGTGGGTTTTATTTTATGAAACTATTTTTAATGAATCAATAATATACACCCTAATTCAAAACAAATTATTTAAAGGCATCTCCAGTATAGCTTTATCTTCATTAATATGAAGATTGAAAAATTAAAATAAATATAAGTCCACTAGGTCTTTCCTAGAACACTATTCATTACAAAGTTGAGTTCAGCATGACAGGTCTCTCTTAGGTCCCATTCAAAAGGACTTAGTGCTGGAACACTGAAAGGACTTTGTTCTAAGTCACTAAATCCTAAGGGAACGTTAGAGCAAGAGTTCAATGAAAGAATGTTTTAAATTGGTGAACTCTTACTTAGAATTGTGAACTTCAGGCAGAATAACATTTCTTACTAAATGTCATTTTGTATACTAGCCATTTCAAACAAATAAACAGATAAACAAAAGACTGGTCAGAACTCAGACAAACAGAAGAACTACGTCGATTTGATTGAAAGAAGACATTTACTGATGCTGCTGTGCTTTCCTCAGAACGCTAGTAACTCTGTTTCATGTTGAAATTGGTAGCTTCTTCAAGGGGACATCAACAATGTGCAAAATGGGCTTAAAAAAAAAACCACTGGGAAAATGCACCAGTGGTTGCTCTTTGTGAATAAAGCTGTGGAAATGGGAGCTGGAGGAGACAACATAATAAAGAATGTTCCAGAGATTTCTTTTGTAAACCCATTATATGAGAGCCCTAAATGTCATTTGGTTGTGAGCAAGCCTACTAAAGAATCTCAAAGTTGTCTCCAAAGCTCTCCTCTTCCATCTTTTTCCTTTGGGTTTTCTTTATAAACTGATCATTACACCCTATAGAGTACATGAGCTCACTCTGATCTTTTGTATCTTACCGTGAGCAAGTCAAAAAATGGAACAGCCTTAACTCATTCTGTTTGCAGCAATATAATTTAGATATGGCAGTAGGAGTATGTTGGTATGCATACATGTGTGTATATACATATACGTGTGTGTGTGTGTGTGTGTGTGTGTGTGTGTGTGTGTGTGTATAGGCATGTTTAACTCCTTAACGTGAATACCTTCAGAGTAAACTGAATGTAATAAGAATTCTTTTCTCTTCCTCCAAGATACACGAATACTTATGCTAACTGAATTATTTCCAAAGTTATACTAATGGTACATCTAGAAAATTTACTGCATTCTAATTTAGATCATGCTAAGATATTTTCTGAGAGGAAAAAATTATAAACAACCTCCTTAGGTCAGCCCTAATTTCCTTTTGCTCAACAATTTTACCACCATTATATTTACTTACTTTACACACATACATACACAGCATATATATGTTGAACATACAAACATATTCATATATATGTGCAAACTCAAGAAAATCTTCAGGAAAACCAATTTCACAGAACATTATTACTTACTCTAAAATATGGATGTAGATTTAAGATTTTAAACAGAATTTTAAGAGCATTGTTCAATATAGTCTGGTTCTACTACACAGGATTTATTTAAGGTTGATACTGTATATATGTGTGTGTATGTGTATATGTATGTATATATGTGAATATATATGTGTGTCTATGTATGTGTGTATATGTATATGTTTATTTTGCTCTTTTCCCACCACTGTCAATTTCCAAGGTATCTGGGTACCAAGAGAAGCTTTTGATCGCCTAGTCAGCCCCCTGGCTCTATTCATTCAGGGATGTCACCAACTGGAGTTTGACAGCACAATTAGTCTCCTTGGAAGCTATTGTGATGTCACGATCATTGAATTGTGGCATCACTGAATGAATCTGGCAGGAGAAGGATGTTAGTCACAAAGGAGAAAGCTTCTGTTTACATACAAATACCTTGGTAATCAGTGGTGATGGGAAAAAATACGGAAAGAATTCCTGATGCCATAATTTAACCAGTTTAAAAGCATTACTCATTTGGGAAATTTCATCTGAATTAAAACACAGTTCTTTAAAAAAAATTAATACTGATTTCTAGGGAGCAAATCTTACTATACCATGTAACCTGAAAAATAGTATTTTAGTTAATTGTACATCATGGATTTAAAGACATAAATTCAGAGCATTAAACTGATTCACAAGAAAAACTTTTGAATTTTGTCATTTAATTTACAAAAAGTTAGAAAACAAACTTACAGAGGATGAAATAATGGTTAAAATAATTATTTCTAACTTTTATGCCCTTTACATATTATCTTATCCAATAAGAATTTAGAATAAAAATAATCAATTATGGATTTTAAAAATTAAGTGTTTGAAAAAAAATCACCCTTCTAGATTATATAATAATAACTAAGCAATTACTATCACTTTTGGGCTTACAATCATCTCATCAAAAAGTGCACTTTAAATATCATAAAATATTAAAACATTTTAAAATATTACAAAATACTCTGAATATCACACTTCTTAAAATAATGGCCTACATAAAACATATTTAAACAATTCACATGTATGTATAAGCATATGTGTATGGATATCCACCCCACAACCTGTACACACACACACACACACACACACACACACAGAGCTATATGTGTATGTATGTATATGAATATGTATGGATTATTAACTAGCTGTGAGCTATTGCTTAAGAACTAGGCCTATATTCAACTGGTTTATGATGTTCTTCAATTCCTAGTGGTTCTCCACTTGCCTTCTTGCCAGTTGTAACCATGGCACTCTAATTTCAATTAGATGACTGAACTGATGCCTTGAGAATAGTTACCATCGCCGGTCTCTGAGCTGGTGCGAGTGGTAGGACTTTCCCAAGTCACAATTCAATCTGTTCCCCTACCCGACCCTGCAAAGTAGAATCCCATCCCAGAGATAGGCAAGGCTGTTTCTTTTTTTTCTATTCCCAGCTGGTAAGAAAATAAGATGAGTAGAATCACTGGCAAGAACTCTTTGGGGATCAAGCTTAATTTGCCTAAGTCCTTTATATGCCATTGCCTCAACTAACCCACAGCAAGATCACAAAGAGCAGGAAAGCAGTAAAGCAGTGAAGAACCATAAGAAAGGTGGAAGCATGAAAAATCAATGAATCAAATAATAAATCATGAACAGCAAGGTGTTTAAGGCAATACATAGGATTCATGGTACTTCTGTAACTGAAAGAAATATTTATATAGGATTCCTATTTCTGATTTGGTAAAGCAATATTCATTTCATCACACACTGAATATTCACAGGTGCCATTCAGAGAAACATTGAGAGCCTGGACTGTTCCCTACCTAATCCTAGGTGAAGGTGATGCTCCACTAGGGTCCAGCTGTTGTCATCCACACAATGACTTTTGTAAACGAGCAGCTGGCAGAGGTCCCTGGCTGTCATGTCTGCTAGAATCTCCACCACTTTGCTTGTCCCATCTTCACTAAAGACTTTAACATCCTGCAACATATAAAGGATACACTTACAGATAAACAGCTCCATGTATTAAAAACAGGAAAATCATACAACTCTTGGACACAGAAAAATTCTTATTATTTTTGGCATCCCGGCACCCAGCACAAGTGAACAAGTATAATTTGCTTTAAGACTTTCTCTCCCCAACTTACCCTCCCCCAGCCTCTTCCCCCCATTTCACCCACCATGGAGAGGACAAAAACATGTAGGATGACAATGTGACTTATCATCAAAACACCCAGGATGTTCCACATGGCATGAAGCACGACTGGAACAGCCCCTATTATGTGGCTTCTGAAATATCTAGAAAGGGACAAAATTAAGCTGGAAACATAGTATCTGGCCTTGGGTACTGGTATTTTGATTGCTAAAGCTAATGGCAAAACTAAACATAATAGCTTCCTTCTCTCAACAGAAACTTTTCACTGATACACCTGGCCTGTATGTTCCTTTGTCAGTCCATTACATTTCTGCTCATTTCTCACATTCTCGTGGTCTTGGGCAGAGGGTGTGATAAAGCACTATCTATTACTGCATAGTTTTTTAATGGAGAAAAAAAGAGGGGAACACATGAGCCACACACAGGCTTCCATCCCACCCCCCTCCCTTTATAAAATTACAAAGGAGCTTCTTTTCCCTTGAACTGTTAAAATGTACTAAATACCTGAAACACTGGCAAAGTAAATTTTAAAGGGTCAAAATGTGTTTCCATTGATTTTAAACACACCATGTGCTAGCGAGAAATGCTTTTGTAGATGCAACCTTCAGGGTAATCTGAGATGGAAAAAAAAAATCTTACCTCAACAGCATGCAAAAGACAGCAGTCAGAAGAACAAGATGGCATTTTAAGACATAGATTGCCTCTTGAAAGAGACTTTGTTCTCTGTCTCTTCCAACTCCTGGTGGGCTAAACTGCAGGCCCCTCCCGCCCCCGGGGGGTTTTGCTGGTTGAACAGATTACTGTACTCTACCTGTCCTGTAGCCCCTCCTAGTCCCTCCTGAGGGTACTCTTTCTGGGCTTACAGGGAAACCCTCCCAGCAGCTCCACTCAAAGGGTTACACACATACATACACTCTTTTAGGTAGTGAATCAAACCACACTCTACAGACCAATCACATTCTTCCCTGGAACTGATGTAATCATTTCCCCACACACTATCAGACCTCCAATTTACTCCCCCCACTCCCAGTAATAATAATTATTTTTTTTAAACCAACAAACAAGGAAATGTTTGTTTTATGACCACCCACAGCATGATAAGTGTACTGTAACATTAGAAAGTTCAAAGAAAAGAAATCATAAATTTCTGAGCCAAAAGCATGTGTGTCCTCTGAAATTGGATTTGTTTGCCAAATCTCTTCATAATCCTTCAGCTCTGAAGTCCATGTCATCCACAGGCATGCAACTGAAGCACTTGAACTTTTAATCAAACCTGTTTCTGTGACCTTTTCCCAAGAAGCTGCCACCACCATCACCTCCCCCTTACTCTCCCTTCAGTCTTTTTTCTACTGCTTTGGCCAAGAGCATACACTTTCTCTTAACTTTTATTTCAAGTGAAATCGATCGGGCAAAGGGAGCAAGAGACAATATCATGACCTCCCTACCAAGTCACAGCAAAAAGAGGAAGGCAGGAAGGGAGGGAGGAAAGGAGAGGAGAAAGGAGAGGAGGAAGGAAGGAAGAAAAGAAATCAAGAAAGAAAAAGAGAAGGAAAGGAAAGGAAAGGAAAGGAAAGGAAAGGAAAGGAAAGGAAAGGAAAGGAAAGGAAAGGAAAGGAAAGGAAAGGAAAGGAAAGGAAAGGAAAGGAAAGGAAGGAAAAAAAAGAAAGAAAGGAAGAAAAAAGAAAGAAAGAAAGAAAGAAAGAAAGAAAGAAAGAAAGAAAGAAAGAAAGAAAGGAAAAGAAAAGAAAAGAAAAGATTAGATTAGATTCATGCTATAGATTTGGTCCAGTGATTCTAGGAGCAGCCTATTACCAAACAATGGGACCTGCCCAGTCTTTAATCCTTTTCACATCTATGAGCAAATTCAGGCCCAGCTAAGAAGGAGTTAACTCTTAATCCAGTGAAAATGACTCAAACCTATGTATTCAGGAAACTGCTTCAGCTGACAGAAGGGATGAGCCAACTCTTTCAGAAGTGGCTGTGACGGGGAGGAGGAACTGTGGTTGCTGGAGCTTTGTGAAAGGTATGCATTCTGTACAATGTTACAGCTGCACACCCAGCCTCCTGTTCCCATTTAATCAACTCACAGAGATCTCAGCAGGGTGGAATTTGGACTGTTGGGTTTTCCCTTTACCCACTTTTAAAAAAAATAACACAACCCAACACACAAAACCTCTCCACAAATCTATTTGCTGTACTTAGCATGGTTCCTTCTCCGAAGGCATAAATCTACACACTAAGCTGAATATTTAAATACAACTGGTCTTATTGTAGAATTTTATAATAATGAAAAGGACTTTGAACCCCGGAAAAAGTTGGCACTCAGACAACAAACAGAATGGCAGGCACTGTTGCAGTATAGGAACAGAGGTCTCAAAAATCAGAAGAAATTAAGAATAAGAATAAATTTAAATTTTTCATTAAAGTTGCTACCCTTTATTATATTTGGTAAGAATCCAAGGTCGATTTCCCACTTGGATGTACTCTGGATGCTTTCCTTTATTAATAAAGTATTTTTTTCCCTAGCCATTTCTTTTGTCAAATTTTAACAGGCTGATTCTACTGACAGCTATGCTCTGCTACCTGAATATCTGCTCTCAAATTCAGTTCTCATTTTCCCCTCAAAAACTAAGTACACCACAGTATAAATAGGATTATTTTCCTTTTACTCTATTAGCCATTAAATTTCCCCCTCACTTTTATATTACTCCTCACTTATCCATCCCCCCTCTAGATGTCAATAGACAGAATATTAAAACAAAGACTTCAACAGCCATATGTCTTATTCAATTTTCGATTAAATACTTGTTCAACTCCTTTGTTGGACACTGTGCTGTTCAAGAATAGGTAAGAAAAAAGCTGTGGCAAGACTGGGAAAAACTAAAGGACCCAAAACCCACTGTAAGGCTGGAAGCTCAAACCCAGTTCTACAGTTTTGCTCACCCCCTCTTTCCCACTTTTTAGGATTTGGAAGTAATATACAACTAACTATAAACAGATTTGAGGACAATACCATGAGCCTTAGAACACTAGTTTTTGATTTTACATACACACACTTATTGAAGTAAAGAGAGACAGCCCTGGTAAACTGAAGAGAGCCTAATATCCGGCAACAGAGGACATGGGTTCAAAACCCCACCCATTCTGCTACTTACTTCCTCTGAAATGCAGGGTTTAAGTCATGTAACTTTTCTGGACCTCAGATTCATTATCTGTAAAATGAGGGGACTGGACTCCTAAGTTACCTCTTCCAAAAGTAAATCCTATGAACATCAAATGTTTTTTTCATTTCCAAGTGCAAACTTAAATTTCTGTAGCTCTTTAATCCTTGAGTTACAAAAAGAAAATACAATAGAACCGAATTCCTTGCAGCAAGCTCATGAATTTAACAAATTACCTACCCTAATAATGCTATAACCATCAGTTTAGATATCACCATCATCCTCAACAACAACACAGATTTACTGAGACCAACCATGGCCCCTCAGAAGCTTCCAATCTAGTTATTTCATAGGACATAGAGAGCAATTTGTGACACACATGAATAAATGCATTGACAAATGTTACAAATTAAGATGGGAAAAACCTTTTCCCAACAGCTAAGTGGTCAAAGGACATGAGCACATAGTTTTCAAAAGAATTACAAAATGCTAATAGCCTTGAAAAAAATGCTCCAAATCACTAAAAATAACTGAAATGCAAATAAAAACAACTAAGAGGTTTCACCTCACACCCAGAAAATTAGCAAAGGTAATATATTATGGAAATAATTTTGGAGGGGTTATGACAAAGTAGGTGCACTAATACCCTATTGGTAGAACTATGAATTTGACTGTTCTGGAAAACAATTGGGAATTATCCAGGAAACATGACTAAACTGTTCCTATTCTAGAAAGCATACACTTCAATGAACATGCTGAAAGGTAGACTGTATTTATCAAAATATTCATGGTAGCAAGAAATGGAAACAAAGTGGGTACCCCTGCCCATAGGGGAAGGGATGAATGGATTATTATTATGCAATTAAGAAATGACCACGAGAAATTCAGAGAAGCATGGGAAGGCTGACAGAGTAAAGTGAGTAGAACCAAAAGAAAAATATAAAAAAAGGTACAATAATATAAATTTTTTAAAATGCTAAAAGAAAGCAGAACTATGATTAACTATAATGATCAATCAATTATAATAACCCAAATATATCACTCCTCTTGGCAAAAAGTGCCATTAACTATAATGTCTGACTTGGTCATAGTAGTAGATGTTTTCGCTTGACTATTTTGTACGTATGTGGGCAATAGGGTGAGGAAGGGAGGTCAGGTCATACACAGGAATGACTATGATAGGAAAAAAAATCATCAGTGCCACTTGTTTGGAAGGCACACAAAGAGAAATGAAACTGGTGGCAGAAAACCAACATTATTATTGACTTTTGTGAGAGAAGAGGAATTGCACATTTTAAATCCAAGGACTGAAAAGACAACTGGAACTGGAGGGTGAAGAGGGGCTGGTTTATACCAGTTTTAATCAGGAGTTAACCAGATGCTAAATGCCAGACAGAATACATATATGACCTCTTAATTTAGCTGGTGTCCTGATTTCAGTTCACTAAGAAATAAGGGCCAGCATCTTGACCTGAATCATATACTGAGAGAGAAATAGTGTTGAGAACACAAAAGCCTCCAGGTAGATCCTTCATGTTTCTCTCATACTGTGAAAAGAAACTTGTTTCAATAGTACAGCTTAGCTCTGAGGAGTGTACTGATCACTGTGAATGGGTCTTCAACTTTGAGAAATTAAGTAATTTTTGGTTTGTTCAAGGTGAAAA